TTGTTATTTTTGTTTTTATTATTTTTAGCTTTTTTACATGTAAACGGTGCGATATATATTTGTGTTATCAACACGTATGTGACGAATAGGGTACAGTAGGTCTCCATGAATATTTAAATGAGACCTAATTGAGCTATGATCAGTAAGATATAGTGTGAGTCTTCTTGTCAAACATGTAGTGTGGCCTATATAATTTTTATGAATTTTGATTGATCAGGTATAACTTAATGGACATTTAAATTCGTAAATAAAATTTGTTCTATTTAATTTTGTTTTAAAATTAATATATCAACCTTGAAAATGGATAAATGTATAGAAGAAAGTGCTCGGTAAAAACAATTGGACAGTTTTTATTTAATTCATCTACAGAAAAGAAAAAATAAATCAAAAGATCACATGAGAACTTTTATCAAAAAAACAACTAAATCAAAACGCCCTATCTGACATATTCAGTGAAACGTGCATACATATATATATATATATATATATATATATATATATATATATATATATATATATATAACCCCTTAGCAAAAAATATTTGTCACCGTAAAATTTAGCTACAGTTGCACTAAAAACATAACACAAATAATAAAAAGCCACAAGAATAACAACTTGCAATGGCGTAATCAAAGATTCCCAATGCAATTTCAGCGACAAAACTACATGCCCAGAAGGAAATTGCCTACAAAGGAACATATTTTCCAAACCTAAGCCAAGTGCAAACAACACCGCAATGGTACCAAAAAGGAACAAGAAAAGTAAAGAAACCCTTGACCACTCATTCTTCAACAGAAAGTAATCCAACAGCGTCACAATATCCACATACATATGGCAACTAAATGACAGAAACGGCATAACAAAAACAAGCTGGGAAATCATGAAACCGCACCTGCCTACAATAACATATCAAAGTGATGTCTACTTTGTTTATACGAAAATGTGTCAATAATCTCCCACACTCAAATCTAAAAGCAATTACTAAATAACACATCGGAAATAATTTCAAAATGCAGACACGAAAATAAATATCTACTCTCACAGTTCATACCAAACAGATAATATCTACAACAAAACTGAACACTGTCAGGAATGAAACTACAGAAAAAATGGTAGAACACTAAAATGAAAATACACCAGAACTAACAATAAACACCAACACCTTTAATTAACAATACCTGCACTGTTACCAACACTACAACTTAACCAACAAACACCACCACCACTCTTGTAATTAAGATAGACCGATAAAACCATCAGTACCGTTACCTACACTACCATCAGTCTTCCGGACACGGCCACCACTATAACAGTTGGTGCAGCCATCAGATAGAGTAAAACCATCAGCACCCTGTGACGTCGTCCCCCCTGGTCGCAGCGTCGACTGTGTCGTTCGATCCCGTTCGCGACGCCAACTGTGACGTGACGTGGTCCAGGGTTCTGATCCTATGGTCACGACACCAGTTGTGACGTCTTTGCCGCGGCGTCAGCTGTTCGCCTCGCTGCTCCAAGTGTGACGTTCTAACCCTTTGGTTAGATGAATACCAGCCTCGTCGTTCCCAACTCGCTTCCAACGCCTGGTTACTAGGGTAACTGTACTGATCTCCGGTCTGCCTACCCACGTTGTGATTAGATCTTAGACAGACGGGATCAAACAGGGATTGGGGCCGTATGCAAGCTGAGTCCAACGGAGGTGATAACACACAATAAGAAAAAAGAAAAACTCACAAGGTCAAAAATTATTGAAGAAAAAAGGTAACAACTTTTTATATCTAAATGTTCGTTACACAAGATTATTCCTACCCCCGACCCGTTTTGTGGACTGTGGCACCAAGCTTCTACCATATAACTTTAAGGCTTCGAGTTGCCTGCTCTCTAGAAATTTGCATTTCGGGGTGTGGTTTGGTTTCAACACTGGGCGCTGATCTCTACCTGTCGTTCACGGCTGATTTCTCTCGTCGTCCGTGGCTGTAACTAACTCTCTCCTCAGAGTCTGAACTATTGTTCACTCATCTCTGCCGTCAGTGCGCGAACTAACTTCTTCTCTTCGGCTTCGGTTGGACGAGCTTATTCACTTCGGCTTGAGTTGGGTGAATTTCTTCACTTCGACTTGGGTTGGACGAATTTCTCTTCTTAGGCTTGGTTTGATTCCAACTTCTCCACTTAGGCCAAACGGCTGCTTCACTTCGGCTTCTCTTGCCGCAAAGGGGACTAATGAACAGGGCCCGCCGTCCGCGCTGCAACTCCAACTCCAACTTCGTCCGAGGCGCAACCCCAACTGCAACTTTAACTTCTTCTCTTCGGCTTCTCTTCCCCGCAAGGGGGCGAATGAACCGGGCCCGCCGCCCGCGCTCAAGCTCCCTCGCTGTCCGCGGCACAACTGCAACTGATTTCTGTCGATTGGGGTCCTGCTTTTATTGAGGCAGTCAAAAAACTGGGGTGGGTCTGTCGGCGCCAGGGTTTTCTTGATAATTCTAAAGACGTATTATTTCTGATTAGGGATTTTCCATTATCGGTAACTTACTTTCACTCCTACTTCACTGTGCCTCTGGGGGAGGCGTATACCCGCTTCCCCTGGTCCCTCGTATGTCAGGTGACCGCTCTCGACCAATGGGGTCCTGGTCGGGCATCTTTCCTCCTCCTCGCACATCACGTGACCGCCCTCGGCCGATGAGACTCTGGTCGGTATCTTTCCTCCTTCCTTCGTGACGTCTCTAATCGGGCGTGGACAATCCGTGGCTTTGTTCTGGGGAAGAAATACCTTGCTTAAAAAACAAAA